TGAAATATCACTCAGTTATACCCAAAACTCTGACAATCTTAAAAATCATAATGTGCATAAAATTCCTATACAGTTCCCTTTTGCTATTTGTATTAAAAAAATCAACCAATCTGGATTTCTTGGATGATGCTGGTTACTTTTCTAGACCAATCAGTAAAGATTACTGTATCAACATGTATTTATGTACATGACACTGCCACTGATAAGGAAATTTCAAATATAAACCTATACTATGATGATGTACATGCAAAATAAGGTTAAAAGAAAAAACACAATTGACAGTTATATTTGTGGGATCAATATAACCTGTATGACAGTGTTATTTATTTAAAATATCTACTGGATATGCTCATGTATAAGCCAACTTCACGTATAGTGTGAACCCTGAAGTTTTTGCATGAATTTTTATTCCCTGTGTATAGTGAGATATTATTTTTTGCTTAAAAGCTAATCATAAAGAACACACATTATCCTTGAGTATATACAGTACATTTTGTTTATGCTAAGAGCTGTGCCATACACTTTTCAAATAAGCTTTATTTTTTTCATTCAACCTTGCTGTTAAAATTAAAAATAAAAAATATCTGAATTTTAAGCATAAATTAAACACTAAATTAACCTCACATTCTAATTAGCCCATTACAATTCTACAAATTCAAATAGAAAATGCTATAAGTGAACATGAAAGAATTTTTATCTTTCATGATTAAAATATATTTGGGAATTATTTTCCCTTTGCAAAAATGATCTTTTTAAAAATGTAACAACTATAAGTTTACAACTTTCATGTAACATTTTTCCGATGCAAAAATTTCAAAGGGAAGGAATCAAACAGAACCATTTCCAAAAATGTTGAAGGAATCTCATTTCAAAGTTGCCTTCAAATTATATTTTATTTTTGGTATTTTTATTTCAAATGTCTCTTTCACATATTTCCCCAAAATTGTTGAACTATCAAAAAAGATATCAAACTGTTCTGTAGTTTTTGAGTCACCAAAAATACAGAACACCAGAAAGACATACAAATCTGATTTTTCATTTACTTACTTTATTAGATTTATTGTGTAGGCTTTAGGCTTTCCTAATGACATCTGGCCCTTTTCATTAAGAGAGAATTGTTGAAAAGACAAGCAACTGTAACCAGACTAATCCCAGGTACTTACCTAAAAAGAAACAAAAAACAATCTGTGAGACATTGACAATAAAACAAAATACAGAATAATTAAAATAAATTACTGAAAAAAAAATTAAAAAAACATAAACTATACCCTCATTACATGAGAACCTGTCCTAATACTCTTTCTTTAGTTTTCATTGTTCTAAATACATAAAAATTATGTCAACATTAAATCTCTCTTGACATGATGTCAAATAACATAGTTAAATGTTTTTAAAATCTAAAATTATTTTTTTATGTGATACTGATCAGTAGTATTAATTCTGAATGAAGAAGTTTCAGTTGACTATTGTCTCAAATTCTAAATAGTTTTATTATTTTTCCAGATTTTGGGGCAAGATTCTTTTCACTTAGTGTCAATATGAGAAGAAGAAATTTGAGCTCCACAGCTAATTTTGGCCATGGACATCTCATGCTCATGAAAAACAAGCTCCAAGAACATGGGATAAAAATGTTAAAAAAAATGTTCAAACTCTTGTTAGAAGGTACTTAACATTTTTGTTATCAAGTAAAGTGTGTCATGTTTTTCTTATAAAGAAGTTGAGGAAAATAGAAAGTCTTCATTGCATATTGAAAATGATTTTCATAAAAATGTCCAATATATCAAATAAATATGTTTATAGATACAAATGTGTTAAAATAAGACAGTGTGAAGGAAGAACACTTGGCTATAAGATGAATTATCTATTCAGTGATAGCAAACAGATCAATCAGTAGGAGGATATGCAACATGGAAATTTGTAATAAAAAGCAACAATAAAAAAAACAATGGTCAAAAAATTAATTTTGGACAATATATTCTTTAATTTTCCTAGGATCTTAAAAGATTGTTTGATTTTTTTTTCTTTTTTATGATTTATCAACCCTTTGTGGGTTACTTAAAACTGAAACACATTTTTGGATTGTAAGAAGAATTCTTGATTTTGTTTAGGCGAATATTGGATTAATAATTTCTTTTGAGAATAATGATTTTTCCTGATACAATTCCTATAATTTAACTCATAACTGCAGGGAACAAATATACATACATTTCTCCAAAGATGATTGCATTTAAGTAAATGTAACAAACCCAACTGGAATATAAACATGGCTCTCTACAATTTCTCATTCCAAGCCACTATCCATTATAACATCCACACAACCAACCATAAAAGGACTAGAAATCCTACCAGGATTTATATATTTTGCAACATATTCATATAAGCTAAAGAACATATGAGCCAAAATTTAATGTAAATAACAAAGATGAAGATACTCATCAGAAAATGTGGAATAAAAAAAAAGTGGGCAAAAACTTTTTTATAAATTTACAAAAAATGAATACTAAAATAAAAAAAATACAATCAACAAATCAATCAATTCACTTTATAATATGCAGAAAAATGTAAAATAAAAATAATAAGTTTTTAATTAAGCTGTTCTTCATCTGCAATCAATTGCATTCATTTTCAATTCCTGCTTTTTGTCATAAGTTAGCACATTCACTTTGAAAATTTCCAGGTTTTTAGTCTTTCCAAGCCATAGCTCTTGGAAAATCTTACAAACACTTGAAATGCTAAGAGATGCTAGTGTAAGAGGGACAGTATATAACTGGCCTAAAGGTTCTGCTATAGCAGTCATGGTCCTCTTTAAAGTGATAACAACACATGTCTTTGAATGCACTACTCTGTCCCAATGAATGCCATGAAAGTCAAGAGATCTCACTCAACACTTTGAGTCAGTTGGCCAGAATCATGGCGGCCACTTCATCCCGAAACACATCTCAGCACTGTCCTTGACCCTTTCAAAACGGAACTTTAGCAAACAAATTAGATTTGGCACAGGTTCGACAAGATTCCAGGCACTAATTCGCAATACAGAGCTTTCTGTTCAGTTGGTTGGGTCACCCAGGTTGCAAAGTGGCCGACTGGAGAGAGCGGTGCAATCTAGGCTCTTCAAAATGGCTGTCCAAGTTGATTCTTCAGTCATTCAACATTAAATCTCAAATGGAATGAAAAAGAAAAGGTGAAAAATGAAAGGGGAAGAGGGAAGAAATAAAACAGAGGAGCAAAGAGAAAAAAAGGGAAAGATAAAGAAAAAATTTTACAAAAAGAAAAGATGTGAAGAAATTGGGTGGGAGTGATGGCGAGAAAAGAAAAATTAACAGGGAGAAAGTTACCGAGACAAAAGGTGGCAGGTTGAAGGGGTAGAGAAACAGAGAAAGGAAACAGATGAAATAGTGGAGACAGGGAAGAAAAGAGACAGGTTGATGGGGGAAGAGAGGGAGAAAATAAGAGAGATTGTAGAGAAACAGAGGGTGAGAAGGAAAGAGACAGGCTTGAGAGGGAAAATAAGAGAGAAGGGAGTAATCTTGCCCTGAGCATGAGTTTAAGTCTCACTTGAGGTCATTTTTTTTTTTAATAACTCTCCTCAATTTTTAAATGTTTTCAGCATTACCAGAGATTTGTTGATTTTTATACTGAGTTTTTTTTTTTATTTAGCAAGTCCTTCTTCACAAAATAATTATACGAGTGGAAAACATTTTTGGAAAAAGACATGCAGATTTAAATTTCACCTAAAATATTTATGCTATAAAAAAAAAAAATGTAGAACAAGTATTTTTAAGCACACCTTATACCAAAATAAATAAATAAATGATTTTAATTTTTTTATGTATAATTGGGCATAATATTATTTTAATCTTATATTTTTAAAGGAGTTATCAACATTGCATAACTGTAATTTTCCCCCAGCCCATCAATTTTCAAACAATCTTTGCTCTCTAACAAGACAAGGAGGACGTTTATAAGCAGAATAAGATCAGCAAGCAAGACTGAGTGGAAACTTAGTTTAAAAAGAAAAAGCGGGGGAGTAAAATATGACACAATATTGAAAGAGAAAAGAATCAATACACAGATATTCAAATATAAAAAATTAATGATGAAAATAACCTCAAAAAGACTTTGAAAATTTCTGTATTTATGAAAGAAGACATTCTCATAAAGGATTTTCCTCAAAGCAAGGGGGAACATAAGCTTAAAAAAAAAACACTGAATTTAAAATCTATAAAGCCAGGGAAACACAATGCAAATGCAAGCCACAGAAAAAAAGGGAAATGTTTATGTTCCACATTTTGAAAGAAACCCAAGGTGCAAAATATTGATTTGTACATGAAACAATTTAACTAACTTTCACATAAACATTTTACCCATTATGACAATGAAATGGCTCATGATAAAATAACAGCCATTAAAAAGATAGGAAATTAGAAGGAGGTGCAAAGGGAAGGTGATAGAAATATTAAAAATAAGTAAAATTATCCAAGAGGAATCATGGGAAAAAGCATGCACAGATGTACAGTAAAACAAAAATAATAAACAAGAAAAAGTCAAAGAGTTAAGTGGGGAAAAAACTACCCTAAAGACAATAACTAAGTTGGACATTGCATGAATACTATCTAGAAAAGAAAAATCTGGAATTAAAGAGTTCTGAATTCTTTGTATGATTTTCTCAGAGGAAAAAAGCATTTTATATTTTCTCCTACTTTTTACACTGAGGAAACGTTCTAATTCTTTTATAAGCTTTTTGTCCAAAAACCTTTTTCGATTATCATCGTTAATTCTTACTTTTCTGACAGTGCTGTCCCTTCATTTATGGCTTTCTTCTCAAGAAAAAAATTCTGGTGATGCCATAGTTAAGCAAAAATTAACACTGGTCAAAAATGTTAACAGTCATTTCAATAAGCAGTTTGAGAGAACTCAAAGTGGATGAGGCTGGAATATTTGTCTATTTGGTTCCTAATAAAAAATCTTTTTTTCTTCTGAGAGAAAAAAAAAATTCACTTTTAATCTGATAAAAAAAAGAAATGTGGAAATGGTAAAAAAAATATCAAGAAAAAGAAGATAAAAAAGAAAGGATAGCAACCTAAAAGAGGAAATAGATCAAAAGAAAAAAAGAAAATAGATTGAAAGGAGAGAGAAATATGAAAGTGAAGAGAAAGCAAAAAAAAGGTGAGACAGCAAGGAAGTGTAGAGAGAATGAAAAAGGCCAGCAAAAAAGAAAGAGATAAAGGTGAGGAAAAAATAAAGTGTGTGAGCAGCACAAAATAAAAGAGAGGAAAAAAAAAATATAGGATAAAGAACACAAAATGGGTTAGAGAGCAAAAATAAAAAAAAGAAAAAAAGAAAAGAAAAGAGAAAGAGAAGAACAAAGCAAAACAAAAATACTGAAATAAAAAAACTTGCAATTTTTTTTAAATGAGATTTAGATTCGGAAAAATTTTTTTAAAAAGACAAAGAAAAACTAAAAATAAAAATCATGAAAGGGAGTCCTCAAGAAAGTTCTAGAAATTCCAGCTAACACCTTGTTCAGAACCACACCCACCATCATCAATTCTCACTGCTAGCTTCCTTACAAGAATTCATGGATATCCACAGCCATCCAACGATCTATTCACTTGCTGTCTTTCCAACAAAAGGAAAGAAAAATCTGAAAAGTTTACACTCTTGATGTGACCCTGAAGCAAAATATGTGTTTTTGTGAAGATCTCTTCATCCTACTCACTTTTTGGGGTGAGAAAGAAAAGTTTCAAGAGGGACCAAGACAATCAGACTCTTTTCAAGTGCCTAGACTCTAGACATCACTTCTCTTGTCTCCAAGTGTGTGTCCTTAGTTACAATGACCACTGCTATGCTACACAAAGGTGAATAATGGCTTACACATTACCTATATATATATATATATATATATATATATATATATATATATATATATCAGATACCAAAGATTGTATAGCTTCTTTCTTTATATCTTTGTTCAGCATCTAAATACATTATTTATTTCATAATAGATCAACCTTCAAGTGTATCTGATTTGAATGTACAAAGACAGGTATTTAAGAAAAAGAACAGACTGATGTAAGAAAGATGAGTAGATACACATACAAAGTACAAATATTGAGTACATACACATGCAAAGTACACAAAATTGTACTACATATGAATGGGGTTCATTTCATTTGACTTCTTTGAAAATGTAATATTTAATTTCTGACTGGGTCAAAGAAAATACAAGAAATGAAAATGCTTTTTTTTGTGTGTTTTAGATTTTATTCAGGAAAATGATTGTGATTCATGGATTATTGAAAACTACACTTAAGCATTTGATTAATGCAGTTACAGACACAAGACAAATCAAGTTCATATTAATTCTTGTTTTTATAAATATTATTCAGTCTGAGATGATATCTTCTAACATCCTGAGGAAAGTATATTTAATGAAATTTTAGTGACACATTTATTAAAACTGGCTTAGAATTACAATCTAGTGAACTAAATGGACTAGTGAAAATGAAAGGAATGAAAAGACTGGAAACCCAATCATAAATAGGAAATAAGGGATAAAACACTACTCCTGTTCAAATGCTTCATTCATAATCCCCCCCCCCAGTCTTTTGAACAGAAGTAGAGGTTTACCCCTTGTTTCCTCTTTAGGATTGGGTTTCCACTTCCTTATAAAGTCTTTTAATTCTCTTTCACTCTCAGTAGCCCCTTGCATCTTAGTGGCATTTTTGTCTTGCTTGGGGTTAATTGATTAAAAAAAAAAAAAAAATCACATTTAACAAAACTTTATAATCCCGGGATAAATTATGTTATGCCTTGCTTAAAAATACAAGCTTTCACCTGGGATGCATTCAAAAACTTATCAGTGATACAGTTGGAAATGCAAACTTGAAAACATAAATGTGATATGATCAAAAACCTGAGGTAATTTGAACACACATCATTCTTGCTACATCACTAACCAGACATGATTCAAAGGATAACAAGCCTTCACCTCAATCACAACACCATACTCATTATCTAAAGAGATGTTCAATGTTACAGTTAATTTGAATAGTTATGCCACTCTGCAAAAGCCAATCAAAACACTTCACATGCATTCACATATCCTTATAAGGTGTATGTTCACCTAAACTCAATTTGACCAGTAAATCTTCTGTCAGTACTGACAACCCATGGTAAATCACTCAATTATCTTAATTTTTCTACTTGATGCTCTACATTGCAGGGGAGAAAGAAAATTAAAGGGGTTACATATAAAATAATGGAATAGATTTTTGTCAGTAGCTTTACTGAACCAAGATAGAAATAAATAAAGGCATCTACTTCCAAGGAGACAGTATAAACTAGATGTTAGTAATTTTGTAATGGTCTAATTACTCCAAATTCTGTTTGACTGAAACACTAAGAAAAGTTTTTCAAAATCAACTGTGTGGATTTGATTATCTTGATGAATGTACAGGAGGAGGCTGTGTGTACATGTCCATATAAAGAACAAAAACTCTGTGCTTATAAATCAAAAGAATATTGGGAATTGTATGTGTATATGTAAACATATACAATATATGTCTAAATCAAAGTGATATGGTTATTCGTATCTGTCTGTCAGTGTAGACCAGCAGAAAGTGTGTCTATAAACTCTTAAAAGGAGGTAGTTGTTTGGGATCTGTACAATAAGTGTTTGTAAATTACAAAAGAAAATATGTGTGTGTTTACATATAGAGGAGTTGATATACACAGGGCAAAACCATCTGTCCATAAGTAAAAAAAAAAAAAAAAGACACTTTGTATGAATAGGAAAGACAGTGTGAACAGTTAATTACTTGTGGCTACACATACATTCAAATCTGAGCATGTAACAAGAAGGAATACTGAATTCTGTTAAGAAGCATATACATGCACAAAGGTTTATATGCCTGTACACATGACATGTAGTTCTTTGAAGTGAAGCAGGTGTCTGTGTGTGTTCTTATATATGTATATCTTGTTCATTTACATGTGAGGCTTTCTCATTTCCCACTGCTTGGCCAGGGATGTCATTAATGAAATCTAGCTAAAGTTGCAATTACCAGCTGAAGAGTAGCAGGAACAGTGAAGACAGAACTTATCACTGTGTACCTCCAACTGGACCATTTAGTAGATATATGATGAAATGAAGCTGTGAAAGAGGAAAAGTAGGAAAGGGGAGCAAGTTACAAGTGGAGAGGAAAGATGAGTGTAGGGCAGTGATTAGAATTGAGGAGACTGAATCTAGTGAACAGAATCTGAAGAGATGCTAACTGGAAAAAGAAAGAAATAATTGGCAAAGGACATAAGGTGAAAAAGATTGTGAAGAATTCAAAAGAAAAAGAACAAACTTCAGACTGTAGACAAAGGAAAGAAAATGACAATAATATATATATATATATATATATATATTCCATTTCATTAATGTTCACCACAGAAGTGGGTGGTGAAAAATATTTGAGCTCAATCCACTTCTCAAAATCTGACTAAATGACCCAACAAAATTTTTTTGGAAGGGCTTCTTGGTCTGGTTGAGACTCCTTCAGAGTCCCTTTGTGTGTGCATATATATATATATATATATATATATATATATATATATATATATACACACACACACACACACACACACACACACACACACACATGGGGGGTGCTCAATTTATGACAGTTCTGTTCCTATGATGCATCATAATGTGATTTTCCATGTAAGTTAGAATGTACCTGCAATTTTCCGTAAGCACTCACTCACCAACAATCTAATATGCCATACAACAAGGAACTGACTCATGCTGCCTTCATCACTCTAGCACCATATGATAACATAATCTTCCATCATTCAGTATGTACAAGGTAAATGGAGATTGCATCATAACCACAAATTGTCATAGATTGGCACTACTGTAACCCAGGGACTTACTTTGAGTGTGTGTATGTGTGTAAGATAAAGAAAATAGGAAACTTTATCAATCTAACATGTTTCACTTTTATTAAAGTTTCATCAGAGAATATTAATATAAGTGAAACCTGTTAGATTGATAAACGTTTCCTATTTGTTCTTTATCTTATCATGCTGTCTGATTCTGATCAGTATTTGATATCAAAAGTTTCAAACAGCTAACTTATCATTAACAACAACAACTTGTCTACAAGACATAAATTACAGAGAACAAATATCATTTATGAATTCACATGTTCCTTAAAAAACTGTGTTCTTGATCAAACCAAATTCATTAAAAATTATACTGGACACTACCAAACTTCATCTGCAACATACTTGTAGAAAATACAAGTATAATAATTTCATCCACATATAAAATATGTGGATGATAACAAAACAAAACATTCCTATCACTCTAGAAACATAAATTTTTTTTTTTTAAATTAATGCATTTAGTTAAAAATAAAAAAAACTCCTTGATAATAGCTAATAGAATAACCAAAATACTCAAACATATAGAACATTTGAACAATTTTTACACACTATGTTCAGAAAAGAAAACACTCATTCAAACAAAAGAAAAATTAAATAAAAAGCATAATCTCTAATCTCTGTACCTTGTTAGTCATCTTTAATGAAGTGTGTGTGTGTGTGTATATATATATATATATATATATAATATGTGAAAATATATAGAAAATAGGAAGGAACTGGTTAGGTAAATAATCCAAAGTTCCTTAGTATTTTAGTTATTATTTTTTAAAAATAGTGCTCGATACAAAAGTAGAGCATAAATATAATTATTTATTTAAAAATATGATTCCAACTCGCGACATAAGAGGTCTCATGTTTCAAAACAAGAGCCGAAAACTTCAATATAATTATTTGAATCAAATTGAGTTAAAGTAAGCTCTGTTCCATCTTCAAGCGAAATTTTTTTGGAATAACGTATTTCTGAAATTTACGTGTTTTAATAATTGAAATCAAAATTTCCATGGTAACAGCTAGGCGAATTGTTTAAATTGGGTAGGCGAGTGTTGGGTGTTAATAATAAGTATCAGTATAGAGTTACTTTCATAGATGTCAAGTCAGGGAAAGGTGGGGGTGTCTAAATTTGAAACGGAAGATGTATTAACCCTAGTCTGGTTTGCGTGTCTATGGAGATTTATTTATTTTTTTTTTTTTTATGAAAGGGATTTGTGCATATAAAAAATTAGATAAAATATTTAGATAGAAAATATTTAAAGAAATCAGACTTCCCTATCTAAATATTTTTGGCATCTGAAGGAATCAAATAGGACACCTAAAGTAAAATGGAAAATTATTAACAGGGCTAGAACATGTAAAACTTGGGATGACCCATGCCCTTTGTGCCTCCATGAAAAATTGCACATTATTAAGCTTCTAAATAATAATAATCTATTAAACAATAGACATGAGTTAACGGTTTTTTGTCGACATCATCAGATTCATGGTTTGAATAATTAGCTAAAAACAAGCATACAATATAATAACTTTTATAATCCATAGCCCAAATAAATAGTTTAAATACCCTACAAAAAAGATAACCCTTTATGAAGTCGTCAAAAAACAAACGTTACAGCAGTTTTTTTGTTTTTTTTTATATGCACAAATCCCTTTCATAAAAAAAAAAAATAAATAAATAAATCTCCATAGACACGCAAACCAGACTTTGATCACATGGAAAATTCACAGGTGCATCACAGCAAAATATAAAAGTAACAATTGAGAAATCTGAAACTTTATTTTTTTTTTTTTTTTTTTTACAAGAGGCTTGGGGAAAACTCATCATTATATATTTCTTTATAGAATGAAAACTTCATATTACGCAGTAAAAAAAAAAAAAAAAACTCATTGCAATTCTATTGTATCAAACAATGAAAAAGTTAAAGTAAAATACAGTAAAGTAAAATGATCACAACAGTCCCCAAGATGAAAACAAGATAAATATTATGTTTGTAAAATCTACTAAATCCAATTAGTCTACAAACCTATCACTGTCAGCATATCTAGACATATGAAATTACATAATAATCCAAAGCAATGAATATACATCCATCTCGAAAATTAAAATACTGCAAGCAAACTCTGAAAATTCCCTTCAACATACCCACTTATACAACACCATGGTTCATTTTAATTTTATGCTGTAATTACATTAAGCTATTGTGCTTATTTCACCAAGAATAAACTATTAGCAGAGGACATAAACAAAATATCTTTGAAACAAAAACAATCATTTGCATAATGAGAAATCAAAAGTTTAACTTTGCAAAACATCAGAAGTTATAAAGAAGAATCAAAGACATCACTAGCAACATTCAAGATCTGAAGAACAAGTGCCAAAAGAATTATCACCATTTCATCATTTGTCTTCAACTTATATTACAGATTGCTGTAAAGTAGTTCTGGCATTTAAAAACAGAAATTTTTTTTTGTTTTTTTTTTTAAATAAATAGAGTGGGCAAATATACAAAGATGAAAAATAGATGAGGGAATCAAATGTACAAGGATAATAAAGTAAAACAAAGCAGCAAATGTCCAAGGATTGAAAACAGAAAAAGGAAGCCAATGTGTTAAGAATGGAAAACAGAAAAAGGATACCAAAGCATAAATACGGAAAACAGTAAAAGTATGCCAATGTACAAGGAAGTAAAACAGAAAAAAAAAGCAAATGTACGAGAACGGAAAACAGAAAAAGGCGGTACAAAGTTTGTGTTTTTTTTTTCTTTTACTTAGCTCTCTTTCATATGTTTTCCATCTTAAATATTTATTTTTAATTTTTATGTCTCCCTGAGCAATTTTCCCTGCCTTTCTATTTTACATCTCAATATTTGCCTTTGTCCCTTCTATATGTTTCTCTCTCTCTTTCTCTCTCTCTTATTTTCTTCTTTTTTTTTTTTTTTTTTTGCATCCATCCTCTGCATTTTAAAGATAATTCAGAGTCAGATCTTTCAAAGAATGATAGGTGAAGAGCCAAGCTCTGTTGAGATGTCTAATAATTCTACTGTCCTGTAATACCAAGCAAATTCTGCTTGAGGCAAACTAACAAATAGTTATGGCATTTAGAAACAATAAGTTTTTTTCTCGATTGAATACAACATTAACTGGAAACAACAATGCATGCATAAGACTCAGACATGTCAGAAAGAGAGTAATATGACAGGCTTTATGTACAAGAGTCCTTCACAGAAAATGTGAGGTTGCAGCAATTATTTGGTGTCAATTTTACAAATACATTGGAAGAGAGTAGATGACAAGAATTTATGATTGTCACCATGATATGCACCTGCATAGAGAGAAAATCTTGCAAGCATAGGAAATAGTTTCTCTGCTTATAATATCAAGAAAGAAAAGTTGATGATTATGAGGAAAAAATATTCATAGTCATTAGCAATGTCAGTGTGAAAGACTTAGCAAAATTGGAAAAGGTAGAAAATGATCTTAGAAAATGAAGAAAGGGATCTATAAGGATGAAAAACAGAGGAGGGGATGGGCAATGTAGAAAAATGAAGAGAATGGAGAAAGGTAAAAGAATGAAAACCAGAAGAGGGAAACAAATGTGTAAGAATGAAAAATAGAGGTGGCTGGGTGCAAATTGACAATGGTGAAAAATGGGGAAAGAAAATATGCAAGGATGAAAAACAAAAGAGGAAATACCCAAGATAAAATATATAGGATGGATGCAAAAACAAACAAACAAAAAGAACTATATGGAAGAGTCAAAAGCAAACATTGTGTTGTAAAACATAGAGAGATACAAGATAGAGAGGAGGAAAATGCTCAGGTAGATGTAGAAATCAAAAGATAAATACTTAAAATGGAAAATATGAAAAATAGATATAAAACAAAAGGGAGGTAAGTAAGAAAAAATACAGTAAGATCATTCAAAGAATGGTAGGTGAAGAGTGAAACTCTTTTGAGATGGCTGATAATTTTGCTGTCCTGTAATACCAACCAAATTCTTGAGACAAACTGACAATTTAACATTGTTTCAATAACAATAAGAACACGGTGCATGTGTAATGGAGCAAAACATCTTAGGCTGAAGGAGTTCTGATGGTGCTTCAAGCAAGAAGGCTGAAGACACTTAAAAATGATGACACACAGACACGAGAGAGAGAGTTTGGGCAGAAACAGAGAGAGAGAAAAATGTCTTAAAGTGAAACAAAGTTGGAATGGTGAGCAAGAAAGAGAGAAATGTCAGGAAGGTACAAAGATAAGAAAACATCATAAAATACAGATGAAGAGCAGAGAAGGGAGAGAGATGGAGAAGCAAAAATATGGCTCCCTTCTGATAGAGTGGCACGAAAGAAGGGAAATTTTTTAAAAGCATGTCCCAAAATCATGAAAAGCATAATTGCTTAAAGAGTGTGACTAACTAAAGAAAAAAAAAAAAGGCTACAGAGAGAGAGAGAAAGGTTTATGAAAATTTTTGAAAAGCATGTGTTAAGTGGAAAGGATTGAGAATGGAAAATAGAAACACAAAGAGAACCATGAATTTCTAGCAGAAAGATGGCCAGAAATTGTCCAAAATTTTTAAATGGGCAATATTATCATTTTTTCATTAATTACTAAAAAAAGAATCCTCATCTTGGATCTTCAGACTTATTCAGATTTCTGAAACTCCTTGTTTTGTATACAATGAATATTCTGCATTTTTATCATCAAAGTTATCCAAAATACAGTCTTGATAATTCCAATATGAATATGTTATTTAGTTCATAAAAACAAAGTAAAATCAAAGGGAAATATTTTCATAGCCTATTCTTTTTTTGAAGCTACTTCTAATCTTTTAAAAAAATATCCTTCATAATTTTTACATGTAAATAAAAATTTCAATAACTTTTTTTTTAAATTACAATTACTGACTAAAAAACAAAAATTTTCTATATTTTATAACAAAATTATCCCAATAGAATAAAAATGTCAGTTTGAGCCATGCTCAAGGTTTATTATATTATTGTTTTATTAATATTTCTATGGATCAGATCCTTCAATTTTTCAAACTGGAAGCAGCCAGCAACTATTTTAAGAATAAATAAAGTAGATCTACAGAAGGAAAGAAAAGTTTTAGTCTCACTTCAAAGAAAATGGCAGTCTTTAGGAATCATACTACTTGTCCTCTGTCTATGTGCTGTAAATGTTCAAGGAAAGAATGATAAACATTCAAAACAATTGCCAAGTCATTGAAGCAGTTAAAAGAAAATTAGCAAATAGTAAAAACAAAGAAAAAGAAAATTATTATTTAATATACAGCCTTAATTTTTGGTCAAATTTGGACAAGATTTCAATCTTATTTGAAATCAAGATTGCCAATTTTACACAATAAAAAAGTCTTTAAAAGCTCACATGTGAAAATGGGAAAAAATTAACTGCTTTAAAATTTTTAATATTTCGTATCAAAGATGTATATGCAACAGATGGTATATCTGGAAAAAATTATAAATATTTTTTATACAAGTTTTCTCTTAATTCAGACACAAACAATATTTCCACACAATTTATAATCGATTAGAAATTTCTTAAATATGTTGCATATTACAAATGGTCATGTATATCTCACAGTTTTATTTCACAAACTGAATTGTCACTTGCTATGGGTCTAAATAGAGAAGTAAAGTGTACAAGAGCACTTTTAACATGTTAGTCCGTAAGAAAGCAATGTCCAGATTGAGCTATCAGATCGCACATATACTTGCCGGCCAGCATTGTTGTCCAGAGTCATAACCAACCCAATCAAGTGGACAGCAGTGTCCATCAAAACTATAACAAAATCAATATATCTGTAGGAGCTGCAGAGGAGAGGCAATCACTAGTGGTTGTCTGAAGAGGAAAGAAGGAGAGAAAGAGAAAAGCACTGAAGGAGAAGAGGAAGAGAGAAGGGTGGAGTGGAATTGTTGGTTTGAGTGGAGTAGAAATATTCTTCAGGAGTACTTTGCTTGGCTTAGAGCACTCTTTTCAGATGGGAAAGAAGGTAAATATGAGAAGATAATAGGCCTGGTTTAGATTTAGGAAAAGGAAAGTTGATGATGATGAAACGAATAGGTAAAGAATGGGTAATTGTAGTGAGTAGGAGAGAAAGAGAGTGGATGGAACAACAGGTAATCAAAATAAAGTGAGTGAAAAGAAGGAGAGGAAATAAGGTTGAAAAAAGTGAAAATGAAAGGGAGATTATTGATAAAAGAGGGAAATGAATATAAGAGAATAAAAGAACAAAAGTATAAGAAAGGAGAGACTGAATGAAATCAAGAAAATAAGAGTGGGAGTGACATGGAGAGAGAGAGAGAGAACGAAAGAGAAAAAGCTAACAGCCTAAAAGGAATGAGGAAACAGCATTGATGAAAAAAAGTGAATGAAAGAGATGGGAAGGAGAGAGTTAAAGAGATGGGAAGGAGAGAGGCAAAGAGATGGGAAGGAGAGAGTCAAAGAGATGTGAAATGGAAAACTAAGAATAATAGAAGTAGAAAACACAAGAGATAATAAAAACAGCTGAACTGAATAGAAAAAGGATGAAAGAGTGAGAAAATGAATAGATTAAAGGAAAGTGCAAAGAAGAGAGAAAGATTAAAAGATTATAAGAGAGAGAAAGAATGTGATGTAGATACAAACAGAAAAGTGAATAAACAGAAAAACTAAAAGGAAACCAAGATAATCAAAAAAGAAAGAAAAGCTTGGAATGTGGAAGAAGAAATGATAATGAAAACATACAGGGGAAATGAAGAGAGAAAGAAATGGGGGAAATAATATGAAGTAATAGAGAAGGGTAGAGACACACTTGAAGGTTTTCACAACACATTTGTCCAGGTACAAGTTAATATTGCCCACTTGAAAATGCAATGTGGACCACCCAGCCATTACCAGCACCATCAGTAGTACCATTCCTTTTACATTACTCCAATAGAAATGTCCTTAAAGGACATTTTCATCTGCTTTGGCAGCACTGCAGTAGACTGACCAGGCAGAATGGTCTACAATGGCTGACCGATTGGCTCTTGTGGTCTGTGAATGAATCGTAGACATCGACCTGTCACACTTTAATTTAGACACTTGACAAGCGATATCAGCTATCTAGCATGCATACGGAAACTTCAATGAGACATGGATATTTACCAACATACATATTATATAAGAGTTGCTCTCCAGCATTTACATGTAGCTACACGACAAGTGTGATATATTGAATTGTAACATGAAAACCTATACAAGATAAACAAAAATAAGGGTCGAGTTGGTGGGGGGTACCACAATTTAAACCAATTATGGGTTATGTAATGTTGAAATGATTTTTATTATTACACTGTAGCCATGTTTACATGGAAACCTACAGACAGCTAAACACTGGCCAGATTTTATACTGGAGCCTACAGACAGCTAAACACTGGATGTGTTTACACTGGATCTTCAGATGGCTAATCAATGGATGTGTTAACACTGGCCATATTTACACTGGAGCCTACAGCTTGCTGACCACTGGCTGTGTTTACACTGTAGCCTAAAAGGCATATGCTTGGTAACTGTTCCTTTTTGGAGTGGTAGAATGCAATTGATATATTTCTGATTCTGCAATAAGACAGACAAACATAAAATGTGTATAACTGGCAACAAAATAGTTAATCACAAAGTGTATTCTTTTGAGAAACAAGGAAAAAAGTTTACAACCAAAGTTTGTTCAATTCTAAAAAAGGTCAACTATTATGGACCCTCTTCTGAAATTTCAACTTTAATACAAAAATAGTTAATTTCTCAGTTTCTCTTTCCTAAAAAAAAAAACAATATATCAATAAGAGGAGATCGTATTCTTTAAAAAAAAAAAAAAAAATATTAATATAACTAAAAAAAAGACAAATGAAACCTGAAATTTGGTTGGTTAATAAGAAAATAATTGGTTTTATTTTTCATATGCAAATTGTGGGAAGTGTGTTAATGTGTGATATCAAAGAGAGTTTTCCAAAATTTTACAAAATGTAATATTTCTTGTGGAGAATATTCCTCTCTACTTAACCTTTACAGTAGGTACCTCCACTTTTTTGCTGAAAAAACAGAACAGCATGATGAAAAAAAGCCCCAAATTTAATAAAGACAAAGTTTTATCATCAAAATATTTATGTTATTATTAAGCGGAAATACAAGAGTATTTTTTTTATTTTATTAAATTTTTAATACTTTCTAACACATTCGTAATTTTGGTTAAAAATCTTGTTTTTTTTTTTTTTTTTGCGCCAGCAGTTGTGGTAATATTTACAATTAGTGTTTGTGCACTTTTTCCAGTGAAAAACACGTTGATTTGGAAATTCTTGCAAAAATTTAAATAATTGTCGGATTTTAATAAAACTTTCAGGACTTATTCACAAATGAATGAAATTATTTTTGAAATTTTTTTTTAGAAAATCTTGGTAAAAATATATTTTTTTACAGGTTACTCCCCCCCCATCTGCTTCCTTAAGATCATGAAATTTCAAGAAATTAAATTTTCATTTTAATTTTTTATTAGTTAAAAACAGGACTCCTTAGGGAATGTAAATCATTAATTTTTTTCTTTTTTTTTTTCAAACGACTATTCATTTTTGAAAATTTACTCCAAATCATAAAATAGAAATGCAAAACTATGACATTATTTAATTAGAAAAGATCTTAATTGCTTTTATAAATAAGATTTATTAAGAACACTATTGTCTTAAGAAAAAAATTTTGTCAATGAATGATATATTTTTACAAGAATTATTTTTATTTTTATTATAATAATTTATAATATATATATCTTTTAAAATTCTGCATGAGTTTCACGTGGTTAGGTGATATTGTTATTAAGTGAAAAGTATAATTACTAATCAAAAACTGAAAAGCTTAATACAAAGTATTTTGAACCAATATTTTTTAAATAATTTTAATTTTTTTATGCATATAAAATATTACATAACATGTCCTTGTTTGAAAGCCTGGCTGACCATACATGACACTATCAGAAAATAAGAGCAATGACTATAGTAAATTTAAAGTCAACATTCCTAACATTACAGAGAATATTTTCCAATATTTTTGTTCAACTTAAATAATATTTTTTTTCAAATCAGATTAATTATACTTTAAATCAGCTAATATTCCTCAAATAAAGTTTCATAAAAGTATATTTTATTTTTGGAAGATTTTTAAAACCGAGAATTAAATTTTGTTTACAAATGTGTCAAAAAATTTTAATGATTTTATTGAAAGCAACCAAAAAATTGTGATTACAATCAATATAATAATTATTTAAAATACACCATAGTATTTTGCTTACTGGAAATAGTAAATTTAATCATTTAGCTTTCAATTAAAGCTAAAAAGACAACTTCA